TGTTTATATTTTCTGCATAAACCAATGGGGGGTAAGGGGGCAATCCTTCTCCCCCTCGACGGCGGCTCCGAGTCCTGCCCTTCCGTTCCCGCGCTCCCTCGCCCGTCCCTCAACCCCCTCATGAGGGTGTCCGTGCCGGGTTCCCCGGCCGCCGTCGCTCCCGCGGCCGGCCGCGAGTCCTCGACGCCCGCCGGGGACGGCGGAGGCGGAGGCGCCGTCGCTGCCTCCTCGGGCGCCGCGGTGCCGGGCTCGGTGCAGTTGGCGCTGAGCGTCCTGCACGCCCTGCTCTACGCTGCGCTCTTCGCCTTTGCCTACCTGCAGCTGTGGCGGCTGCTCCTGTACCGCGAGCGGCGGCTGAGTTACCAGAGCCTCTGCCTCTTCCTCTGCCTCCTGTGGGCAGCGCTCAGGACCACTCTCTTCTCCGCCGCCTTCTCGCTCAGCGGCTCCTTGCCCCTGCTCCGGCCGCCCGCTCACCTGCACTTCTTCCCCCACTGGCTGCTCTACTGCTTCCCCTCCTGTCTCCAGTTCTCCACGCTCTGTCTCCTCAACCTCTACCTGGCAGAGGTAAGGCGGGAGGACCGGCATGCGGGGCCAGGGCGGGTGCGCGGGGCCTCCCGGATCAACTCCCGCTGAGGACGGGGGGGAGGGAGGACCGGCGGGCGCAGTGAGAGGCGGATTCGAGACCAGCCTGGGGAAACTGAGGCACGCCTGGAGTGTGCGCCAATGTTTTCGCCCGAAACTTAAGCAGCTGATTGACTCGATCACCCGGGGAGGGGGGCGATGAGTGAGAGCGCGAGTGTTCTGTCAACTTAAAACAGCAGGACAGCCCTTTGTTCAGTGTTCTGGCCCTCTAAGATAAGGCGTTGGTGGCACCAACAAAGTGGCATCGCACGAAGTAGCAGCCCCGGTAGCTCTGCCGAAGCTGGACTGTGCTGAAGGAGGTTGGATGCTGAGGTAGCAGCAGCTCTGCTGAAGCTGGACTGCTGCCAGCCATTACGTCACCAGGCAGAGCTGTTCCTCTGCTATTGTTGCTGCGTTTCTTTTATTAGAAGCATATATTCCCTCCTGCATCTCCTTTCGTGTGGCTCGATAAGCCTCACACAAATTCCGATCGATAGTTCCCCAGCAGGGTTAATGATCAATAACCAATGCTGAGGGTCAGTATAAGGACCTCCATAAAGCCCGTAATGTTTGCCCCACTTGCTTAATGCTTTGGCGATTTATCCTACCTCTCACAGCATAGTCTCTTTTTGGAGCTAATTAAGAGAGAAAATACTAGCTTAAGCTGTGCGTATTGCAGAAACAAACCACCAAACTGTTTTTGCAGTAACTTGCTTAATAGCTGGAACCTAATCACACCCCCTTTCTCTTTTATGGGGAATTGCTGGTTGGATTGCATTGTTCTGCAGCGCTTAGGTATTTGACCCATTTCAAGCAGGTTTGGGAGTGTAAGGTTGTCAATCATATGTGTCAGCTAGTGGTGTTTAAGCCACAGTATTTTGAGAATTGCCAAAAGAAAAGGTTTCCCTTCCCCCCATAAGAAAAGCCTGAGGAGGGGAGGAAACAAAGTGACATCATATACTTATTACTGACTAATATAGAACAATATTGGTCTATGCAGCTAATCGTCTCAATTTGAATCTGTAATGTGCCTAAGCTTATTTTTAACAGTTTTGGAAACAGGAATATTCAAAACAGATCCCTTGATGGTGACCCCTGAAGCAATAAGAAATGAAATACGGGTCCTCTCCTGAACCCCTTGTGCTTACTGTTTCCTTGCTGTGCATTTGCAGGCCACCGATAGTAGGTCCCACTTGGATCCAAGCTCAGAAACTTAACATTCTGAGATCTCTAACCCTGCAGGCTATTGTAGGTGCCTAGAATTTTAAAGGAGGTGTCAGGACAATGATTTGTTACATGAAGTGGCCTCATAAAGACTTGCCCACAAAAACAAAAATTTAAAAAAAAAAAAAAACAGGCAGAATAAGTGTTTATATTTTCTGCATAAACCAACTCTTCCTTAATAAATAGAAAGTAGAATGCATAATTTTAAAATCACACAGTCATAACGTCAGCCATTTAGCACTCTAAAAACGACAGTTGAAAATAAGTAACAAAACTAATGTAACTTTAATTCTTTTCCTTCTCCATCCTTTGGAAGCAATACAATGACAAAAACCCAAACAGCAAAAGCAGAAATTAAAAGCGTGGGTAATCATAAATGAAGTAATTATGCCATAGTCGTGTCACTTATTTGAGAATATTCTGATCTTGTAGTTGTGTTATAACACTCCATCGTTTATAGTTAAACTGACACATTGTATTCTTCCTGCCACCATTTCTGATAGAATATTAGTGATTTCTCATTATTGAAGACTTACTTTAGCTCCAGATATAATTTACCTGAAAGTGATTAGCAATCCTTATGCCATAAGTGTCAGATAACTTGTTTTTCCCCTATCCTTTTAACTTAAAAAATTGTATTAAGGATTCACTATAAAATAGATGATGGGCTTTTCATAAAGTGGCTAACCACTATTTTTTACTTCTTTAGTATACCACATACCATAAAGTGTACAATCTTAAGTGTACAGCTAGATGAAATTTTACATATTTATACATCCACATTACCACTACGCAGGTTAAGATCTGGGTATAAAGCGTTTTCTGTGCCCCCAAATTTCCCTTGTACCTTCTCTCAGTCAGTACCTCTCATCCAGAGGTAACACAAAGTGGCTAAACGTTATCACAACAGAAATAAGCATCACTATTTTAAGCTCAAAATTCTAAAAGTATGCTTCTACAGTATAAAATACACAGAGTACCTAGATTAAGTTTGCAGACTTTTGATTGCTAATGTTCCAAGCTAGTAAGGAAGAATTTAAAGTCTAAAAGTCTTCCTGTTAAATGAATCTCTTGTTTGTGTGATGTAGTTTTTAAAAAGCAATAAAACTGTGAACCTATATATAATTTGGAAAGAAGCTGGGCTAAAGCTTTTCTCTTTTGCAGTGTCTCCTAAAAAAGGTGTGGGTTGTTTGTCTATCCTTGTCTTTTTATAATCAAATTAATAACTTTAGGACACCTAACTGTATTTAAGAAAACAAATTTTCAGCTTTATGGAAAACCTGTTTAAAAAGAGATAACCAGAAATCATTTTCTGTTCGTTAGAGAAAATCCACAGAAACTTGTATTTTAAAAAGTATTTCAATTCATATTTTTATATCAATTCCAGATAACTGGAAGTCTACTTCCCATTGATCATTCTGAATTAATGAAGTTTTTCCAGTGAGTTCATATTTTAGCAAAGTGGTAGGGAAAGTGTTTGTGGTGACAAATACAGAATTTAACTGATATTTTATTTTTTAACCAAAACCCCTACATCTTTTTTGAATAGTTGTGCTTCTTGATTACCAACTTACTCTGGCTTTACTATCTGTCGTATTAAATATCAATTCCATTTTACTTTCGATTTGTTTTATTTGTTTCTCACTAGTTAAAAACATTCTGACTTTAAGGACTTAGTTATAAAGAACCATGGATCAGTATAAAAATAAAATTAGTAAAACAACCATTGCTACTTTGAACACATTTTGGTGGGTCTTCTAAAACTCATGTTTTTGACAAGTTAAGAACTGCCTAAACCACTTTTTCTTTTGGTGACTACACTTGAATGTAATTGAGATAAGAGGAAGTAGCCCTTTCTGAAACAATTAGGCTTTTCAATTTCTCATACTTAACCTCCTGGAAGCAGATAGTTGGAGGGGATGAAGGCCGGGAGAACCCCATACACTAATCTAAAAACACCTACTGAACTTTTTCTGGCAGGATCAGTAGAACATGAGCTTTACCAGGAAAGGGTTCACATTCCCATACTTTTACCAGAGAAGATTAGTCTGTAAAACATCATCCAATAAAACTGATACTGTTCACCATTAGAACATGTGAAAAGACTTAAAATGGGAGTTGAGAGTATACTATCTTTGGAGTGTTATGATGCATGCCAAAATCAGTGAGTTCATCTCTGAGGCCCATATTGACATTTTTCCTTGCAATTTTGTAATATGAGTGCCAGTTGCTTAATCAGGAATAAAACACAGTGACTTAATCACAATGCCAAAGCAGCTAAGAAAATTAAATTCAAAATCTTAACTCTTACATTTATGTATGCTATTATTGTCCCTGCCAATGGATATATTCTTCCAAATATCGATGGCACTTCAAATAACATGCATCTCAACTTACAGGTACGTGGTTTTATTATGTTCTGTGATTTCCACAAAGGTATTCTCACCACCTAAAGTGGAAATTCTTTGAGTATAAAAGGTATTTTATCACATTTTTATCTCATAGAAACTAGAACAATGGCGAATATATTATTGAATGACAGTCTAGATGGCCAGAATCTAGAAAATATTTTGCGATCTAACCTGTGTGTGTGGGGGGGGGTTAACTTTATTTGAGGTAGATGATTTATGTACTGTCTGGAATCTTTATATTTCTGCCTAAATATTTCATATGGTATAAATGCTAAGATGCTCTTAGATTATCTTGATTTAATCAGACAAGAAATTAATTTTGATTACTACTGATAAAATCTTACTAATGAAGCTACTTTACTATAACAGAGTTTTTCTTAAAATTATTTTCATATCATGGCAAGTGGCCCATAGTAATTAGGGGTTTAGTAATTTGGTTTTAACAAATTCTACTAAATAGGAAAGTCTGTAAAAACAAGCCTCACATCATGATTCGGTTATTATTTACTGGAAATAGTAGCTTAGTTCAACTTTTGACTTTTATTGTTACTATGATTATAAACTTTTTTGTCTGAATCTACATTTTATCTACTAACTCAATCCTATTTCTCCTGAGACCAACTGTGGGGCCAGAGTTTCAGAAACATATCTATGATGGAAGATATGATTATAATGCATTACATTTTATACATTTAATATACGTTTAATATTTCATAGCGCTTTATAACATTTATCTTCACAAACCCTGTTTCACAAATGAAACAGGTAGAAAAGGGTGTGGTGTGTCTGAGGTTATATGGCTAATGTGTATCAAATGTGAGACTAGAGCCCAGGTGCTATAAGGTCTTGTCAGGTAATCTCTTCCTATACCATAAACTTTCCTGGACATCACTTCTTTGTTTATTGTTTAGTGCTTCTCTAACTTGCTTTCCCACTTTCACACTCTTTCAAACCTTTTCCACTGTCTAGCAAGCCCTTCCCTCTTCATCTTCAGCATATAACCCTCATCTCCTAGTTTAAAGTAGTAGAAGCCAGAGCCATCTGGCTCACCAGAGATTCAGAGAAATGCCTAACAATGCTGCAGAGAGTATTTAATCCTTTTCAATGCATGATTGAGCTGGTAAGTAAGGAAATTCCTCAAAGGCCAGAAACACCAAAAAAAAAAAACAAAAAAAAATCCCAAAATGGTAAAATACCACACAGATGTTTGTCTTGTGGGTGAGTGGTTATCAGCTGCTTCCTGCTAGCCTATAGCCCAGATTTTAATTTTATGTTTTGGGAGTGTGGGGAGGTGATATTGCCGGCTAT